ATTTGTTTATCCATCCACTTGTTGATGCATTTGCAATTGTTTCCAGTTTATGCTATTTAAATGAAGCTATTATGAATTAATATGTCTTTTTTAGGGAACCCTTCTACACTGTTGGTGGGAATGTAAGTTGGTATAGCCACTATGGAAAACAGTATGGAGGTTCCTTAAAAAATAAAAATACAGTTGCCATATGATCCAGCAATCCCACTCCTGGACATATATCTAGAGAAAACTATAATTTAAAAAGTTACATACAACCCAATGTTCAAAGCAGCACTATTTACAATGGACAAGACATGGAAGCAACCTAAATGTCCATCAACAGATGGATGGATAAAGAAGATGTGGTATATACAAATACAGTGGAATATTACTCAGTCATAAAAAAGAATGAAATAATGCCATTTGCAGCAACATGGACGGACCTAGAGATTATCATACTAAGTTAAGTAAGTCAGACAGAGAATTATCATGTAATATTACTTACATATGGAATCTAAAATAGGGCACAAATGAACACATTTATGAAACAACAATAGACTCACAGACATAGGAAACAAACTTATGGTTACCTAAGGGGAAAAGGATAGGGGAGGGATAAATTAGGAGTTTGGGATTAGCAGATGCAAACTGATATATATAATGTAGATAAACAACAAGGTCCTACAGTATAGCACAGGGAACTATATTCAATATCCTATAATAAATCATGAAAAAGAATATGAAAAATCACTTTGCTGTAACTAGAAAATAATACATTGTAAATCAACTATACTTCAATGAAAAAATCTTTTAATAAGGACATATTTTCCATTTTTTGCATATAGCTTGGAGTGAAATTGCTATATAGGTAAGTGGATGTTTTAAATTAAGAAAATACCAGGGCAAAGTAGTTGTACTATTTTAGACTCTCAGCAGCAGTGTATGCGACTTCCAGTTGTTCCATATCTTGGCCATCACTTGTACTGTCAGTCTTTAATTTTAGCTCTTCAAGTGGGTGTGAAATGGTATCTCATTGTGGTTTTTTTTTAAAGGTTATACGCCATTTATAGTTATTATAAAATATTGCCTATATTCTGTGTTGTACAATATATCCTTGTAGCTTATTTTATACCTAATAATTTATACTTCTTAAACACCTGTCCCTATATTTCCCTTCCCCCTGCCCTTTCCCCACTGGTAACCACTAGTTTGTTCTCCATATCTATGACTCTGCTTCTTTGTTGTTACATTCACTAGTTTGTTGTATTTTTTAGATTCCACATGTAAGTGATATCCTGCAGTATTTGTTTTTCTCCATCTGACTTATTTCACTTAGCATAATGCCCTCTAAGTCATCCACATTGCTGTGAATGGCAAAATTTCATTCTTTTTAATGGCTTCGTAGTATTCCATTGTGTATATATACCACATCTTCTTTATCTGTTCATCAGTTGATGGACACTTAGGTTGCTTCCACATCTTGGCAATTGTAAAAAATGCTGCTATGAACATTGGGGTGCATGTATCTTTTTGAATTAGTGTTTTTGTGTTTTTTGGATATATACTCAGGAGTGGAATTGCTGGGTCATATGGTAGTTCTGTTTTTAGTTTTTTGACAAACCTCCAAACTGTTTTCCACAGTGGCTGCACCAATTTGTGTTCCCACCAACAGTATAGGAGGGTCCCCTTTTCTTCACATCCTTGCCAGCATTTGTATTCTTTTTGATTCTAGCCATTCTGACAGGTGTGAAGTGACATCTCATTGTGGTTTTGATTTGCATTTCCCTGATTATTAGTGGTATTAAGCATCTTTTCACGTGCCTTTTGGCCATCTGCCCTTCCTCTTTGGAAAGATGTCTATTCAGTTCATCTGCCCATTTTTGTAATCCAGTTGTTTGTTTTTCTGATGTTGAGTTGTATGAGCTATTTATATGTGTTGGATATTAACCCCATACCAGTCATATTATTTGCAAATATTTTCTCCCATTCAGTAGGTTGTCTTTTTGTTTTGTTGATGATTTCCTTTGCTGTGCAAAAGCTTTTAAGCTTAATTAGGTCTCTTTTGTTTATTTTTGCTTTTATTTCCTTTACTTTGGGAAATGGATCCAAAAAAATTATTGCTGCAATTTATGTCAAAGAGTTTTCTGGCTATGTTTTTCTCTAGGAGTTTTATAGTACCTGGTCTTACATTTAGGTCTTTAATCCATTTTGAATTTATTTTTGTATATTGTATTAGAGAATGTTCTAACTGCATTTTTTAATATGTAGCTATCCAGTTTTCCCAGCACCAGTTATTAAAAAGACTATCTTTTCTCCATTGTGTAATCTTGCCTCCTTTCTCATAGATTAATTGACCTGAAGTGTGTGGGTTTATTTCTGGATTCTCTATTCTGTTCCATTGATCTGTGTGTCTGTTTTTGTGCCAGTACCATTCTGTTTTGATTACTATAGCTTTGTAGTATAAAGTCAAGGACTGTGATTCTTCCACCTCTCTTCTTCTTTCTCAAGATTGTTTTGGCTATTTGGGGTCTTTTGTGTTTCCATAGAAATTTTAAAATTATTTGTTCTAGCTCCATGAAAAATGCCATTGGTATTTTGATAGGGACTGCACTGAATCTGTAGATTGCCTTGGGTAGTAGTATGGTCATTTTAACAATATTTATTCTTCCAATCCAGGAATACAGTATATCTTTCCATCTATTTGTGTTGTCTTCAATTTCATCAGCATCTTTTGTTTTCCAAGTACAGGTCTTGTCTTTTGCCTCCTTAAGTTTATGACAAAGACAGGCCAATATCACTGGTGAATATAGATGCAAAAATCCTCAACAAAATACTGGCAAACCAAATCCAACAATACATTAAAAGGATCATACACTATATCAAGTGGGATTTATCTCAGGGATGTAGGAATTTTTCAATATCTGCAAATCAATCAATGTGATACACCACATCAACAATGAGAAGAATAAAAACCATGTCATCATCTCAATAGATGCAGAGAAGGCTTTGATAAAATTCAACATCTGTTTATGATAAAAAAAAACTCTCCAGAAAGTGGGCATAGAGGGAACATATCTCAACATAATACAGGCCATAAACAACAAACCCACAGCTAATAATCCACGCAATGGTGAAAAGCTGAAATCACTTCCTTTGAGATCAGAAACAAAACAAGGAGGCCCACTCTTGCCACTGTTATTCAACATAATTTTGGAAATCCTAGCCACAGTAATCGGAGAAGAAAAAGAAATAAAAGGAATCCAAGTTGGAAAGGAAGAAGTAAAACTGTCACTGTTTGCAGATGACCTGGCACTATACATAGAAAACCCTAAAGATGCCACCAGAAAGCTACTAGAGCTCATCAGTGAATTCAGCAAAGTTGCAGGATACAAAATTAATATACAGAAATGTGTTGCATTTCTAAACACTAGTAACTGTCAAAAAGAGAAATTAAGAAAACAATCCCACTTACCATTGCAACAAAAAGAATAAAACACCTAGGAATAAACATATCTCATTGTGGTTTTAATTTATATTTCCCTGGTGAAAATGACATTGAGTATCTTTTCATGTGCTTATTGGTCATTATTTTGTGATGTTCTGTTCAAATACTTCTTTTGTCTTTTCATTATTGTTTTGTCTTTTTATTGAGTCATAAGAGGTTTTTTTATATATTCTTGATATTTGTCCTTTGTCAGGTACATATATTATAAATATGTTCTCTTGCCCTGTAGCTTGCCTTAGCATTCTCCCAATGGTTTCTCTCAAAATCAAAGATTTTAATTTTGGTAAAGCCCAGTTTATCAATTTCCTTAAAAAAAATTATTAGTGTATTTTGTGTCCTGCTTAAAAATCCTTTGTTGACTCTTAAATCAAAGATGTTTGTTTTTTTCTAGAAATTTGATAGTTATAGCACTTATGCTAGGTCAATGATCCATTTTGAATTAATTTTTATGTATGGTATAAGGATCAAGGGTCATTTTTCCCACACTGACATCCAGTTGTCTCTGCATCAATTGTTAATAAGACTGTTCTTCCCCACAGTGAACTGTCTTTGTCAAAAATCAATTGCCCGTAGATTCAGGGGAGATCTATACCTAGATTCTTTTTTTCTGTTCAATTGATACATCAATACCAATTGTTGTAATTACTGCAACATTATATTAAGTCTTGACATCAGGTAGTATTAAGTCCTCTGATTTTTACTGAATTGAACTGAATCTTGGATTGCGACTGAGTGGTGAGGAGAAGGCTTCTAAAGGCATTCTTAAGATAATTGGAAAAATATGATTTTATATATTTAGTGTGATAATAGTATTGTGGTTATGCAGGAAAATGTACTTAAGAAATACATGCTGAAATAGTTATGGTTAAAGAGTTCTGATATTTGAAACTTACTTTTAAATATTTATGCGCCCTCCCCCAAAAGAGAAAACGAGAGAGAAAATATCACAATATCAAAATTGTCAAATTGAAGTGGAAGATGTATGAGTGATCATTGTATTATTCCTTACCTTTTTCTGTAGATTTGAAAATGTTCAAAAAAAAAAAGTTGAGGGTAAAAAAGCTGTGGGCCACTAAACTGTACAATTTTAAATGGCTAAAATGGCAAATTTAATATTACAGGAATTTTATCTCAAAAAAAAAATACCAAAAAAGAGTTGTGGGTATCCAACACTGTAGAGCTATTATGGAGCTGCTTAAACTGCTCTGCCCAGCCCCATCCTCATAGACTGGGGTATGGATGGCATCCCCCAGAGTTCTGTAATGCCATGACCCTGGGGACAGTGGGACATGTTGAGGCAGAGTTAGAAGGAAATACAGAATCTTTATGCAGAGTTGAAAAACAAACGGGTAAGACAAATCTTACGATAAAATTACTTTTACATAATTTAATTGCTATTATTAATTTTAGAGGGTTTAGGAGGGAGCAAGGCATACTGATTAGGCCAAAAATCAAGCAGAGCCTCAACTGGTTAGAAGTAAAATGTCAAAAGCAAACCAAACTGGCCACACACCTGGGTTGATGGAGGGCGGCGGTGGAGGTGGGAGGGGCCGGCCTTCTTTAACGGCTAGTGTGCACAGCTTTGCTGATCGAATAGCGTTGATGAAGTCTTCGTGTTGCTGTCTCCAGTTAGATTTTCTCACAGGCTGAGGCTATTTAAAAAAAAAACAACAGTATATTACTAACCTAGACTATATATCTCTCCATTATAATTTGTTGAAAGCTGGGGTTTGAATTTACAGGAAATAGGACTGTGAAATTTGGAGAGAGGAGAGTTTGTTTTTCAATAAGTACTAAAAGAGGTTTGGAAAATACAATGATAAAATTTGAAAGTCAAAATAGTGAGGGAAAACACAAAATAACAATCAGAAAAACAAAGCAATTACAAAACTTTAAAGGAAGACTTAAATGTAAGATTAAAAGTGACTTGTCTTCCAAGTTAATTGCTGGATTTAATGCTACTCTAATGAAAATATAAACGAGATTCTTTTTTTTTTTTTGGCCACATCTGGAAAGTATCTCAAGTACATTTGGAAATCTAAGTGAGCATGATTAAAAAGAAAACAGTAAAGGTGGATTATACTTAACATGACATTACACTGCACTATCAAGCAAAAATGAAACCAGAGAGCCAGAAAGAGGCTTTAATGTACTTAAGGACATAATTAAGAACAGTAAGGAAGATACTGATAGTACCTTGGATTTAAGAGCCTTCCCCACAAGGGGAATGTCAGTGCCCTGTAATCTTTGTTTTAAGGAATCGAAAGGTTTACGCTTTTTGTTGAAGAGTTTTCTACAGATCGGTCCATGCCTTTCCTAGAAAAGAAGGAGTGGGGATTAAAATTTTTAACATGTACAATCACAAAGTTCGTAATGCCTCAGTGTATTCAGGCAGCCCCCACTGCAGTGACTGGGTTGCACCTTCAGAGCCAAGTTCATTCTCTAACTCTCAAATCACAGCAGAGCAAATCCATCTGGCTCTCTTCACCCATGTTACACATAACTAGATACTGTGTTCGGGCAAGGTCACTAAGAGGCCTCTACAGCTAAAGAAACTTACTTAAAATTTGGCTTTATACGTTTAACTCTACCACTTGGGCTCAATAAATTGGTCCAAGCATTAAATAATGTTGAAAACACAAACTTTCTAGTTTAAATTGAAATGAATATTTCTGATATTCAGCTAGATAGACACTGAAGCCAAGGAAGTTTTCTTATTTCCTCTGTCCTGTTTCCTGCCTTCACCGTTTCTAAATTCCAAAAGCAAATCATCCAGTAACTGAGTCCCAACAACCTAAAGATTGGTTTATCAGCCTTTTGAAGTAACCCTTCGCATTCAGCAGTGAGACACTTAGCTTCCTACCAGAGGAGAAAAACTACCTGCTCAGAAAAACTCAACATTTCAAAATTGAGTTTAACTGGGTCGCTTTTCTACATACAGCAAATCAGACCACTTAATTCCTGAAAGGGAGTGGATAGATTTCAAAGAAATATTTGAGAACATCTGTGGAAAACAACTGGGACGACCGTACAAGTGAAAAATATACCAATTCCATTCAAGTTAGGGAAGCATTTTCCCTTAATGTATCCAAACATTTCACGTTCATGAAGTCATTCATTTTAGAGCAGATCTGAGCCTATGTTATTACATTTTAAAATATTACAGTATTTATAAGACAATCGGCAGAGAAAACTACTCCAGTCAACAGACCTCTGAGTACCCAGCATTTCCCTGGGATCAAAACCAGGAACCAGCACGTGGAGCTGCACCTGTGCCCCACCCTCCTGAAGCCTGTTACTGCTCCACTGTGGGATTATACCAGCGTCTTTGCCTTCCCCGCCAAGTCCTCTGCCTTGGTGGTGATGCAACTCGCAACAGCTGTCACACGGTTACGTCGTCAAGACCCCACAATACATGCTCCATGAAAATCACTGCACCCGGCTACGAACAAGCCACTCTACACTCAAGGAGAGAGAGAGATCACATTACTTGATCAAATGCTCTCTGTAGCCTAAAGACAAGCCTAGGAAACAAGACTCGAGAGGACTCAAGAATACTTGGCACTTGGTGATCCCGCCTCAAATGGTACCTCTTGGGTCTCAAATCCATTCTCGTGGGGTGTAGCCCTGGGCTAGCAAGGGAGCTCACTGGTGCACCATGGGGCCACAACAGGCCCTGTGGGTTTTCCTTCTAGATTCAGGAAGCTCTACTTGCAGTTAATTAGAACAGACATTTCATTTTTAAGTTCCCAGAGAAATAAAATCTACAACCTCATTTGGTAGTCTTTTGCCCCAAATGTCATCAGGCTTATGGTCCAAATTCTTGAAGTTCAATGTAAGTCTCCTTGATCTAAGTGTCCCAACTAACAAATCATTATCATCTTAGATTTTTTAAAAGTCACTTTTTCTTGGGAGTCTCTTCTTAATATGGAGGCCAAACACCTGCATGATTTCCTAAATTTGAAATAAATCAAGCTTTTATTCAACTCTATAGGCATCAGTCAGGGGACCTGACATGCAGTTAGTTTGAATCTAATTAACAATTAGATCTTGGAACAGGCCTGACATCTAGTTTGTTCAAATTACATAAAACCCCTGAAATTGGAGAGTTCTGTCTTTAGACGTGGCAAAGCAGGAAACAGAGGAGGCTAAAGGACTTGTCAGAAATAGTGACAAATTTGAGGCTAAAAGCCAAGTTTCCAGATGCTCCAAATTCAATGTTCATTCCTCTTGACTAGCTAATTTCCCTGGTGCTTTGGCCTTAAAATTTGAATTTTTGATGCTTATAGAAAAGGCAAAAGAGCCAGAACCTCTCAAGAGACAATCCTCTGTGCCAAGACACTTTCATCTGGCGTCCTTTTAGTAAGAAGACCATGTTTAATAAGTTTCCTTTTGAATGGGGCAGCATCGATCTGCCTGAGAGTCCTCCGGGCCTGCCAGCCATAGGTTATGTACTTTTCTCCCCTTGCTTTTCCTCCACATCTGTCTTTAATCTTTGCCACTGTGGCCTCCTCACTAACTTGACAGTTCATTTAACTCCAATGAAACACATCTACAAAATGTCTTTATGTTTACCAGAACATCTGCTGCAAAGCGTCTTCCACAGACTTCACAGGGAAATAATTCCTGATTGCCATCTGTATGGGATCCAAGAGCACATTATGTTAGTTTCGTGGAATTGCCTGCCCGAGAAGAAATGACTAACCAGAGACCTCAAGAAGCTCAATATCCTCACTCTCTTTTCCCTCCCCAACTACTTCCTTTTCTTAGGAAAACACTCACCTGTGTCTTTTCCTCCTAATATAGACTTCTCACTTCACCAAACAGGTACATTCCATATGCTTCAGGCAACTAGAGTGTAATTATTTAATATGTAACATGTTCTTAAACTAAGTACCTGGTAGCTTTGCTTTAGACATAAGTACAAAGTTGATACCCTGGTATAGAGTCATAAATAATCCAGTGGTAACACCTCTAAGATTCCTACCAGAATGTAAGATCTATGTGCCAAATGAAGGCATCCCAATTTATCAGGGATCATATGAAAAAGGTTGCCCAATCATTGAACTGAAGGTAAACTTCCTGAGAATGGCTTTCTCTCTCCCAATAAACTCTCTTTGCTGGAAAAACTTCTACTCAAGTGGAAGGAAGTAGAAGAGGATGAGCTGGATCAAGTAGAATGGTGGGTTTTGCTCCAAATCAGGAAAGACAGGGCCATTACAATGGAGAAGCACGTGAGGGGGATGAATGTCATTCTGGGGGTGGGGTTCAGGGTCAGATCTAATGGAGCCTGAGAGTAACCCTCACTGCTGACATTTTAGGTGCAGCAGAGATCGAGTGAAGGACCAGAAGCATAATGTGCTCACTACTTGCTATTGTTTTAAAAAAAAAAAAATTCAACTACTGTCATGTTTTCAAAGTTAAATAAAGAATAAACTCAACTATTGAAGAAAAAAAAAAAAAAGACCGAGGCTGTGCCCACTAAATCCCAAAGCCTCAAAGTACCTGCCCCACAGTAAGGTGCTCAGTGAATACTCATTGAGTGTATAGGCCAAACAAGAATTGAGTTTCTACCACAGGACCAATCATTCATACAATAAATAATTAAATATCTGCCATACGCAACTCTGTGGGAACACTGAAAGAAAACATACGTGGGTCCAGCATAGAAAAGGAGGGGAAGTATGCCCATAAATTAAATTAAGTTAAAAAAGCAAACCGTGATGAAATTACGGGGAAAAAAAAGTTTGTTTCACATTACTGCCTTCCAGTTCATCTAGAGTTGAGTGTATAAAGATTAAAAAATCAGTATGATTATGGAGAAGATTTTATATTGGACTAACAATTTGGGCTGTATTCTACAAACAAGGGGAGCAATCAGAGGCACTGAGTTGGGGCAAGGGAATAGCTCAAATGGTTCAGCGCATGCTCAGCATGCACGAGGTCCTGGGTTCAATCCCCAGTACCTCCTCTGAGAAAAAATAAATAAAGAAACCTAATTATCTTCCCCACAAAGGGGAGGGGAAAGACATTGAGTAGGAAGAACCTGAACAGAGCAAGATTTGTGTGACAAAGGTGAGGAGGGATGAATGGTGGGGAGGGAAAGTGGAGTTTTAGTTAAAAACCTAAAGGTGTTGGCCTGAAATGGAAAGGAAAGCGGAAAGAGGAAATGGGAGACACTGTGGTCAAAGAATCAGTAAGATGAGTGGATTTGGGGGGAGCTGAGAGGTGGCAAAGAGAGGAGAATGCTGAGGGACTGTGAAGACGGTAGACTGTGGATAGAAATAGAGAACTGGAAAAGAAGGACCATCTTGTAAGAAAAATGACCTCAGCGTTGGAAATACTGAGTTTGAGATAGAGTTGTCCAGCCAGCAGGATGGAAATGAGGGAGGTCAGGGCTAGAGACACAGATGTAGGCTTTGTTTGGAGAGTGATGTAAAGGCATGATATTGCCAGGGAAGAGGTCATGGAAAGAGAAGTACAGGGATGATCCCTCGGGAACTCCATATTTAAGGGCCAAGAAGCTGATGATGATAAGCCAGAAGGAGAAGCAGGAGAGAACAGGGTCACGGAAACCATGGGAAGAAAGTTTGAAAAAGGAAGGCCTGATTAACAGGAATCAGATGGTAGCTCATTACAGACACTGTTGATTTAAATGATTTCTTCTCACATCTGCCAGATGGTATTGTATTTGCAACACAGGTCATCTGTTACAGCATACAGAACTACACTCTTCCTCTCTGTTCTTCTGGCCTTCTAACTCTGTAAAATTGTCTTTTTTTTTCAGCAAGGATATCCCACCCCTCCACATACTTACTTGTTAATAAAAACTACTCATCCTAGTGATAAAACTGCTACTTTTTTCTAAAACACTACTGAAGGGTGATTTATTGTTATAAACATTACTGTAACATTTGTAGTGTGATTTCCTGTTCTCCACACTCTTGTCCTATGTGACCTCATTTACTCCTCACAGCAGTCCTGTGAGACAGGGCTGGTACTTTATGCCCAACAGGTAAGAAACTGAAGGGTCAAGGTTAGATGACTTCTTGAGCGCAACAGGGACTACGTGGTAACACTGAGACTCAAACTTGAGTCTCTGTCTCTACAAGCATTAAGACTATTTACTCAACCATCAACATAAATATAGATATGTCAATACTAACCTGTAAAGCAAATAGAATTCCCTGGAGGATCAATGGCCTTTGGTTTAAATCAGTGAGTTCTGAGTTCAATGAGCTTAAAATAATGACAGATACAATATGATTCAATCGAACACCTGAAATAGATGGACCAACACATTCTGAACCACATTCAACTTGGAAGTTTGACAATAAGGAAGGAAGGGAACACATGACTAGCCATCTGAACACAACACGAGATCAATGCGGTCTGCAGTTTTACTACAGTATGCTGAGTCACAGGGAATACGTGAGCATGAGAGCCTTAAAAAATTCCTTTGAAACAGCCAAGATGCCCTTCAGCAGGTGAAGGACTGAACAAGCTATTATGCTTCTACCCTGGGAAACTGCTCAGCGATAGAGAGGAACACTGCCACTACCTACAACAGCACGATTCGGTTTCACTGCTGAGTGAAAAAGTCAAGCTCAAAAGGTCACATACTGTACGATTCCATTTGTAAAATTCTCAAAATGACAAAATTAGAGAGATGAGCGATTGCCGAGAGGTAGGGCTGGTCAGGGAGGGGAGGTTGTGGTGACTACACAGGCATGGAATGAGGGAGACCTGTGGGTGATGGGGCATTTCTGTATCTTTATTGTGGTGGTGGTGATACATGTAATAGCATGGCATAGAACTATAAACACACACTGTACCAATGTATATTCCCAGATTTTGACACTGTGCTGTAGTTAAGATGTAACTTGGGGGAAACTGAATAAGGGGTGCAGGAATCTCTCTGTACTATTTTGCAACTTTTCGTGAATTAAAATTATGTCAAAATAAATAGTTTAAATATCTAGGGGTTGGCAAATTGTGGCCAGGAGACCCAATCTGAGGCTGCATGATCTTATAAATAAAGTTTTACTGGTACACAGTCAAGCCCGTTTGTTGGTTTATATAACACCTACTGTTGCTTTCACACAACAGCAGCGTTGAGTAGTTGTAACTGCAAAGCCAAAAATTATCCTTTTGGCCTCTGCAGAAATAAGCTGCCAACAAGTGAATGAAAATTTTAGTAATTAAAAAGGATTTGTGGGAGAATAACATGGAAAATGTTAATATGCATTTTTATTCATGTATTTACAAATAAAGACTGGAAGGCTACATACGGTAGACACACACACACAACACACATACACACAGTAATTATCTCTGAGAAGTAAGAATAGATGATTATTTCTTTAGTTACCTGAATTTTCCATTTTTCTGCAATTTAAAAATCAGAATCAAAGAATGACATTTTTTAAAAAAGAACCTTTTGATATAAAAGATTCTAAAACAATGAGCATCAACTTAGCTATTCTATCTTTATCCTAATCGGAGTCTTAGACTATTAAAGTGGCTATTGTTTTCATACATTGGTTTATAACCTTAAGACAATTTTTTAAATGAGGAAAAGAAAGTGATCTGGAAGTGATCAACAGTTTTGTTTAGCATGTTAACAATGAAAAAATAAGCATTATAAAGATCTCAGTTCAAAAATTTTGTAAGAAACCTGGAGAGGATTATGGCTGTAATGAAATTAGAAAAAATTCTACTTGAGACTAGACATTCTCTTTCTGAGCTGGAAGTTAAGAATGCTTTGTAGAGACACCTACCAACCCACATTTCCTTATATAGGCATTGTACAGAAGGAAAAAGGAAGACATTTTCTCATTTAGTTGTCCGTGAGTCAAAAAACCCTGAAGTCCTTTACAGTCCAGAACACGCAAATGTTAGCAATATTGATATCTTCCAGGGTCCTATGGCAAAGGGGGTGGCATACCAACCAAAACTTATCTCAGAAACATGAATTAAAGAACAAGAAAAGAAACTGAGGCTGATGAGTTAGGAGGGCAGAGAGAATACCCCACCTTATTTTTGCTTTCCCTTTGGAAAACGACAAGGGGTATAGAAACATGGAGAACCACAAGGACAAGGAGGAAAGAGGACAAGACTAAAGAACTGGAGTCTGAAAATGATGGGCATGATAACCAACTTAGGAAACATAAAACTACATCAAAATCCACTTCCCAAGCTGATGGTAGAAAAAACTGAGAACCATCCAGATTTGCACAGATTTGCACGGCAGAACACTTCAAAAGTCACAGGGAGCCCTGGAGCAGCACATACTGACATGGGGACAGGATTAGTGAGGAGGAAGAAGAGGTTGCTAAAATACAGAGGATCAGGGTGAAAGCTTTCTGAGAAGAAGGGAAGATTCCTAGAACCCCTCCTTCACCCCACAGCTCCTTGGGTGCTTGCCCTTCCTTAACTCGAGCAGAAGTTGACTCTCCAGAAAGGACAGAGAGGAGGTCAGCACATGAGTCAACGCGAGGCCCAGCTGAAGGCCTGGGTGGGAAGGTAATAGACATACACACATACATACAGTTGATTCTCATTATTTGTGCTAGCTATGTTCCCTAAGTCCTGCGAGGACTAAATACTGACTGGCTTGTTACTCCCAGGGGAAATATAAAGTTAGATTCTTGTGAGCCTCTGGGTCACAATGTTTTTATTTAAAATTTTTTATTTTTATTTTTGTATATATATTTTTATTGAAGTATAGTCAGTTTACAATGTTGTGTCAATTACTGGTGTAGAGCATAATGCTTCAGTCATATGTGAACATACATATATTCATTTTTATATTCTTTTTCAGCATAAATTACAAGATATTGAATATAGTACGCTGTGCTATATAGTATGAACTACAAGTTTATCTATTTTATATATATTACTTAGTATCTGCAAATCTCAAACTCCAATTTATCCCTTCCCACCCCAACATTTTTATTAACCTATCAATACACAACCTTGTTTTGTCTTTCTCTTTAAAAGACACCTTGTTTAAATACATAGTTGATTCAGTAACACTGAATTCACAGCCAACAACACTGTAACTCATGCCTGCATGAATATTTAACAGACACATTTTCTCCGTAAGGCACATCACAGCCTTCCTGCTCTTAGAAACACTAGACAGCCCTTCAGCACTATGCTTGGGAGCCCTTTTAAACAGTTACATCACCAAGTGCAAAAATATGGAAACTATGGCACTAAATAGACTGTAAAAAAGACACCTGTTTGCAGCATGAGAGCTGAAAGAAGAGAGCATCAGCTCGATCTACCATAGCTGGGAACACGTGTGTTGGGTGACGACTTTTCAACTGCTACGTGCATGCCTGCAAGTAAAGTGGCATGAGTATTGATTCAGGGTTACAGATACTATTCAGTAGGCAAATTTGCAAACAGGGACTCCATGATTAATGAGGGTTAAGTGTATATGTATGTGGGTATACATATACACATATGCACATGAGTATGTATATAATCTAGTTGTTAATCTCACAGTGATGCTGAAAAGCAGAGAATTCCAACATCCACTTCCTCTTCTTGGCTCACAGAATTCTGCTTGCCAGACCCTTATTCTCAAGGCAGAATGAAAGCTTCCCTGGGAACATAACCACTCCAAGCAGAAAGAGATAAAGATACTGACATTGGGAAGATTCCCAAAAAGTTCACCTAGACTACCCTACAATAAAAGCTCAAAATCATCAAATGCTACTCATCCATTCAGTTTCCAGGGTTTTCTTCCTTCGATCTTAATCATGAACAAACAGGAATTTCCAAAGATCTGAGGAAAGTCTCTGGCATGTAAGCCCCAAATAAAAGAGAAATATAATGGAAAATTAAAGCTCTTAGAAATTCAAAGCCTAACAGGAGAAATGAAAACATCAATAGAAGGTTGGAAGATAGAATTAGGGAAGTCTCCCTGAAAGTAGAGTAAAATGGCATAGAAATGGAGAGAAACATAAGCAAATTAGAGTACCTTTCCAAAAGGTCCTTCTCCAAATAACTGGAGTACAAGAGAGAAAAGGAGAAAACACATGGAAGAAAATAGAAATAATTTAAAACTATTTCCAGAAGTGAAAGGACATGAACCTCCTCATTGAGAGGACCCAGATGAAAATAGACCCATAACAATAAATATTGTAAAATTTCAACACTGGAGACAGATGCTACTGACTTAGAGGGAAAAAAAAAGTAACATGCAAAGTATTACAAATCAGACTGGCTTCAGATTCACAAACAGTAAAAATGGATATGAAAAAAAATCCTCTAAACTTATGAGGGAAAATAATTTATAACCTACAGTTTTATACCCAGCCAAGCTATCAATCAAATATGGGGGTAGAATACATATTCAGACACGCAGCTTTCAAAAAATTTACATTCCATGTACCCTGTCTCAAGAATTACTGGAGGACAGGCTCCCACAACGAGATGAGTAAAAGGTCAGCAAACAGGTGATTCCACACAGGAGGGAGAGGAGGGGATTCCCAGGCTAACAGCTGGGCACCAGACCCAGAGAGCAACCAGTTCAGACTGGAGGAGTATGATGAAAGACATAGACATGCTGAAGGCTGTCACAACCTAGTACTCAGTGCTTTGTAACCTAAGGATAGTACGCCCTATATGTATCTGGGTCTCATTCTGTTCTATGCTTGGCTTGTTCGACCAAGTTCCAGCTAAGTGCCTGCTCTCCCTTCATATTCTGATGCGATCTAGATCAGCTGAGGACACTCATTTCACTCCACAGGAAACTTAGGTACTGATCTCTTGAGTGATGGAGGGAGGTCACAGTGAGCACAGAAGCAGAAAACATAAAATGAGCATACAACCTCTAGGCATACTTTGGCAGGAGATCCAGGATGTCCAACTGCAGTGACTTGTGTTCCCAGGACTCACTCATCACCTTGCTCACTGACATCTCCACATGGGGCTCTTAAGAACTCTTGGGAGCTGAAGTCAGACTCTAACACTATTTGGCTCATCTTCTCAAGGATGCCTTGTTCAAATGGTAGCAAATACTGCCCTCATTGAGCTAATCTGTACTTCTCGGTTGCTCAAAATTTAACAGGATACTGTTTATAGAGATACCATGCAGGTGATAATTAATATGAAAGTCCAGATAGTTCATAAGAGTTACCCATTAAATTGAAATTCAGGATGAACCCAAGGTGGCTTCTATGTTATGAAGATTGGCCACAATTAAAACAGAAGGGCATTAGAATTTTTGCCTTCTTCTGAACTTTACCTGAAACAAGCTGGATAAAACACACTAATGTTCTGACACAACACTGTAAACTGACTATACTACAACAAATAATTTTTAAAAATACCGATGTCAACACATAGGAGAAAGCAACATAAAGGTACTGATTAATTTAACAGCAGTTACAGGATAGCTAAATTCTGTCCACCACCTGAGGTGACTGGATGACATCACAATGGAGGTGGGGATACAATGCATCACAGGTAATAGTCACCAACAGTAATAGCTCTTGATACTGTGACTTGTAAAGTTCTAAAGTATCTGAAAAGCGACTTTATACCAGTCATGGACAGTGCTTCAACAAAACAGGTCCTAAGATACAGCAGGCAGTCTTCATGATCTTGCCCGTCATGATGCCTTAGACCTTTCTGGCTAACATTGAATCTAGGTCCTTTTATTCCAAATTTAAGCAATTCTTTTCTGAAATGTCTTTCCCAACTATCCACTCATTTTTATACTGCTTAGTGATCATTTACTAAATGTCACGCTCTGTTCTAGACCCTGGGAATAAAGCAGTAAACAAAAATACCCTGCCTTGTGTGTCCTAGTGAAAGGAGACTGAAAAAACTGTCTCAGATGCCAGTAGATGCTATGGATAACACATAGGAGCATAAAGAATGCAGAGGAGGGATGTTTGCGCTATTTTTAAATACACGGTCAGGGAAAAGTTTACAGGGGAGGTGATAATTGGGTAGCATCTTTAAGGAAGGTTATTTACAGTAAGAGCACTTCAGGGGGAACAGCAAGTACTAAGATCCTCATTTAAAGTGGTACTTACCACAGTGACTTGGCATCGCTAGTTATATTTTGCTCCACACCCTCGGCCTCCTCAGACAATGTGGTCTCTGAAGGCAAACCTCTTTATTGCTTTGGACACCCAACATTTAGCATGGAGCTTATATTAAGTTCCAACCACTGTTTATTGATGACACAAATATTCCAAAATGTTATGAAATAATGCAAAATATTATGTAAGCATTTTTTCTCCAGAAAAAAAATCAAGATCTTTAAATTTGGAGGATGATCAGCCAAAACCACTGTAGGCTCTATTACCAAGACTAGTAGCTTATAGTCACATTCTCTTAGTTGCAAAATACACATGTTGATTTAAACCATTTGGGTCAAGTGCAGTGAAATTAGAAGCTTCGAAGATGGAATGTGAATAGCACCAAGTCAAAGTAACACTCCGAGTCTACAAGATTCTTGCTGATTTTAAGAACTTTCAATTGAGATACCTACCAAAATAAATGGACCTTCTCTTTAGAGCTCAGTGTATTCTAAACACTAACATAAACCATCATCGGGCCTTGCTTCTGCAGGTTGGCATTTAAATACACTTTCCAGGATTCTACTTCTGTAATGACCAGCTCTTCAGCCAAGTTTTTTGTATCAATGTTGGGCGAGTACCTAATGCTCCCATTTTTAACAACTCTTTAAAAAATTCTACAGTGATTACTTAGATTTAGAATTGACAGCACGTAAAACAAGATAACACCTACCAGCTTAGGAAAAGCCAAAATCAAATGAATTATAGACAAAGACACTTCCTAAAAATTTAGGTATCAATGCAGCTTACCTGCTAAAAATGGTTCTTCCTCAATCATTCTGTACCCAACTCAGACCAACAGTATCCACAGATTTTTTTCAGAACACTCCAGATGACAACACATCAGTCACGGATGGACACATGAACAGGGGTCACTAACAACTTGTCTGCTGCAAGAAAGTCACAGTTTACCTAATAATTAACAATTGTGATGGTATCATTGCTTGAGCCTTGAAAAAGTTAAGAAGTTAAAAAAATCCCATCAAAAAACAGGGAAAGTTTTCAACTATGTATTTTAATCAAGTATGAATCGTTCCAAGCATTAAATAATGTTGAAAAGTCAAACTTTCTAGTTTAAACTGAAGTAAGTATTTCTGATTTTGAGCCAGGTACTCACTGAAGCCAAGGAAGTTTTCTTGATTATTTCTTCCATTCTGTTTCCTGTCTTCACTGTTCCTAAATTCCAAAAGCCAAGTCAGGCAATAACTGAGTCCCAACAACCTCGATACTGTTTTACCATCCTTTTGAAATAACCCTTTGCATACCGCAAGGGGAAACTTAGCTTCCTACCAGTGGAACTTGCTCAGGGAAATGCTTCTTAACACTCTCTTCAAGACTGCATTTAACACTGTCACTTTTCTACACACAGCAAATCAAACCACTTAACTCTCGAAAAGGAGTGGAGAGGTTTCAAAGAAATATTTGAGAACATCTGCAAAAGGCAAGTGGGACAACTACACAAACAAGTGAAGAACACACCAATTCCATGGAAGTTACGAAGACATTTTCCTTTAATTTATCCAAACATTTCATATTCATGAAGTCATTTATTTTAGAGCAAACCTAAGCCTATATTACATTTTAAAATATTACAATATTTACAAGACAGTTGGTGGACAAAATTTGCTGGTATAAATACAAGTATTGTACTATTTTCAATACCTGCCAGTAAAAGTGGCAGATCAAATAGTTTTGTCTCTTTGAAGATTCTCATTCATTACTGACCATCCCCTAAATGGGGAATGCACCTTGTCCTAAATGTTCCACTGTCACAGCTTTAGACCCACAACGTTCTTCTTCAAGTTCAGCAGCTCTTTCTCCTGCCTTCTTTTCTCCAGTTGGAAGGCTAATTTGTTAGCTTTCTTCTCCACTCTCCGTTCCTGTGCAAGAACAGGTTTGTGTTACTCAAATCTTCACACTAATGCAGACTAACTTTACAAAGGAAAATTCCCATGATCTCCCCCTTCACCAGCTCTTTGGAAATCTCACGTCTGAGAAAGGTACTTCACCTTGCGCTCTTCTCTTATAGCTTGCTTTCTTGCTCTTTTATCTTCTTTGCTTTCATTTTTAGAACGTGGTTGGGTTGACACCTTAGGAAGATCACTGTCATTAATCATCTGCATTCGTTCAACTTGCTTTGCTGTGAGTCCTTTTTTAGGTAAGACATTGAGAGGTATTCCTGTTTTAGAAGACAGCTGGATTTGTTTCGGCTGAAATGAAGATAAAATACATTAGGGTTATTTTCGATTCCTATTAAAAAACAGCTCACAAACAGCACATTGTTGTTGCTTTTCACAATGGTGTATGAGCCACAAAAGGGTAAAGCTACTATGAGAAAATAATCTGTACACTCCATTTTATGCATTGCATATTTAAAATAGTTCAGGACAAAAGGACTTACCTTTGGTTGATACTTGATAAGCTGCGGATGGTTATATAAATTTGAGTATGTACCTTAAAAAACACACACACACAGATCATATATCAATAATGTATCAATAAGTACACTTTCAATTCAGCAGAACATTACTAAGTTCCTATTCCTAGTCTATCCCTGACTTTAGTGTTTTCATAGTTCAAAATAACAATGGAGTCCCTTTTATGTTTTAAAATTATTTACAACTCAGTAATAGAAATATTACTTTTTCTAAATTGTTTTCACGAAATACATACTTTTTCAAAAAGTTGATGTACCCAATACTTTAAAATTACTATCACACTTCCAGCAGTAAAACGGACACTAAGATACTTACTACAAATAGATTCACAATCCCACTTCTCTTTGGCTTCTTCAAGAACTACAGTAACAATCTCTTCCTCCTCAGACCCACTGAGTTCATTCATTGGCAGGTCCTGATCCTCGAAGGGTTCAAGAGTATTCAGTTTTACACAACTTTTGGTTGAGTTTCAAAAATGAAGATAGAGGAGGGAAAAAAACCACGACCCATTATTACACTGTTACTAAAACTGCACTTAAAGAGCTAAGGAAACAACTGCATTTCTGTAAATCCACAGACTCATTTGCCCCATCTGTCACTTCTTGTTAAAATTAGCTCTACTCAGCCTTCCCCCTTCCGCACAGAAGATTTTGGACATTCATTCTGCTGACGGGGAGGAAAAATCTTATCTGCATCTTTGCAACGTTATAACACATTAAACAAGATGGTGGCTCTTCTACAGCATGATCTTTTCTTAAAGCCTCGAACAGCATTAGCCCATCTGCCTCTCCAAAGTATTCAGATTCACTCCAAGAATGTACCCTTGTCCTACTCTAAGATCTACATATGACAGTGATCATGGAACATCAGAACTTTTTAGCGGATGTAAACACCTCATTAGTTTCCCTCAGAGAAATCACTCTGATGTGAATGATAACTGACCAAGTATTTGGCTGGAAAGTTACGCTAATTCAGCTGGGGAGACAAATTCTCATCTACTTCTCAGAATACTTTTTCAGGAAAATGAAGAGTGTGTGTACTCAGAAGTCAGAACAATTCTTCAGCCAAAAAGGCCAGAAGAACCATCTCATTCTCCAAGTGGAATGTGACCTTGTACTCTGATCCTCAGTTGTTACCATGACTCTTAGGTCAAAGCTATAGACAAAGTGGTTCTCAGTTATGTTCCCACCCACTGATATATTCAGCTTCAGAACTTGTAATATCAAACTGAGCTGAAAGTTAAGGAAACTCCATCATTTTCTAAATATGAATTCTGACTGGGTGATTTTCTAGATTCAGCTGTATGATTACAGATTTTATGAAAAAAGCAAGTAAACCAGGAAGTCACCATACTTCTCTGCCTTCTCTTTATAGTAGTCGTTCAAAACTTCCTCTAAACGACTGCTGTCCACTTGAATGGAACCTTCCAATTCAGCATTATCCAGAGCTCCAATTTCATCATCATCATATTGCTCATAAAACTTGAATATAAAGAGAAAAGATAACATGAAGAATGAATCTGTTCATTAAGACTACAGCATTTAAATGTTATTTTTACATTTATTTTACTCCTGTACAATATTTAAGCACTACCATGAGATCACAACTACCATTAAAGTAGTAGCAGGGACTTATTAGCACCATAATAATACGATGTGGAAGACATTCTACTCAGCACTCTAAGACCGACATTTAGACTGAAAATAGGCTGCCATTTAATAACAAAATCACCACTGACAAAACAAAAACACAACCTACAGAATGGGAGAAACTTTGCAAATGATATGACCAATAAGGAGTTAATATCCAAAATATATAATCAGCTCATATAACTCAACATCAAAAAAAAGAGAACTCAATTAAAAAATGGGCAGAAGACTTGAACAGACATTGGGGGGGATTAGTTTTATTTCTTTGTTTGTTTATTATTTAAATGGAGACACTGGGGATTGAACCCGGGACTCTGTGCATGCTAGGCACACACTCTACCACTGAGCTGTACCCGCCCCTCACGCTGAACAGGCATTTTTCCAAAGAGGACATGAATATGGCCAACAGGCACATGAAAAGAGGTTCAACATCACAAATCATCAGGGAAATACGAACCAAAACCACAATGAGGTATCACCTCACACCTGTCAGAATGGCTATCATCAAAAAGAACACAAAATACACACGTTAGCAAGGATGTGGGGAAAATGGAGCCCTCCTACACTGCTGATAGGAATGTAAACTGGTGCAACCACTGTGGAAAACAGTATGGAGGTTTCTCAAAAAACTGAAAATAGAGCTATCACATGACCCAGCAATTATGGAACTATCTGAAACAAAATCACTAATTCAAAAAGATATGTTCACCCCAATATTCACAGCAGCATTACAGTTACAACTGCCAAGACATGGAAGCAACCTAAGTGTCCATCAACAGATGAATGGATAAAGAAAAAAATCTTGTAAATATACACAATGAAATACTACCCAGTCATTAAAAAGAATGAAATTTTGCCATTTGCAACAACATGGATGGACCTGGAGAGTATTATGCTAAATGAAGTAAGTCAGACACAGAAAAACAAATACTGCATGGTATCACTTATATGTGGAATCTAAAAAACACAACAAACTAGTGAATATAACAAAGAAGCAGACTCAAAGATATAGAGAACAAGCTAGTTGTTACCAGTGTGGAGAGGGAAGGGGGTGGGGGCAGTTTAGGGGCTAGGGGTTAAGAGGTACAAACTACTAGGTACAAAAGGAGCTGCAGGAATATACTGTACTACACAGGGAACACAGTCAACATTTTCATAATACCTATAAATGGAGTTGTGAATCACTATATTACACACCAGTAACTTACATAATATTGTACTATACTTCAATTAAAAAAAGGAAAATGAAAGGCAGTTATTTTGTTCGGCATAGAGAACAAAACGCTAGGCAGAAGTCTTTACCTCAGAATGTTTCAGATAGTTTTTTTTAAAACATTTTTTATTTTGGGGGGGTAATTAGGTTTACTTATTTATTTTTAGAGGAGGTACTGGGGATTGAACCCAGGACCTTGTGTATGCTAAGCGTGCGCTCTACAATTTGAGCTATAACCTCCCCCACAGATACTTTCAAATTCATTGCTTGTGCAAGCTAAAAGATCGTGTAACTAAGCAGCCTCCTGTTAATGCAGACATTTCATTCTTCTTTAGATGATGTTTACTGGATTATTCAAATGTGGTTAACACTGTTAGACTTTGTAAAAGAACAAGTAGGGGATGATGAAACTATTTAAAAGCGAGGTTATTAGTAACAG